CGAGGCTACGCAGGTTTCGGACACCATGGTTTCGCGTGGCAGCCCTTGGACAACCGTGCCCTCCGTGAGGCAGGACCGGATCATAGTGAATCGGACGGAGTAAAGCCCGGTTCACATTCCGATGCTTGTGCCGCGGGTCTTGGGGAATGATGTTCGAAGCCAATGTGCGCAAAGGCGGTCTTGAGGGAAAACGGCACAAGCAATGGAGACATCTCGGGTGGCGTGTTGGTGAAGCGCATCGAGCCTACGTCACCAGCAAGCGAGCTTCTGCGAGAGCGTGACGTGCTGCTGTCCATTGCGGGAAGATCCATCAGCACAGGCGCCAGAGGGAGTTCGAAGCCGTACTGGCACGATGTATAGACTCTGGGAGTTTCCATGCAGCCTTCTCAGAGAGGTGGCACCGTGCACTTCCGACGTGGAGAGCGCATCGCGTTCCCATACGTCACCAGCCAGAAATGCCCCCATGACACCGTCGAGTGCGAGGTGCTGCGAGACAGCAAGGCCGGCGGATGGGATGAAAACTCGCAAGGAGAGGGTCGGGGTCGCTCCTTTCTCCTTTCGAGGTGCACCAATGGCATCTGAAGCTCGGGTGGCCGAGTCCGCTGGTTCCCATGCACCCCTTGCAGCCGCCGGCGTATCTCGTGGCTTAGCGGCAGTAGCTAGCAGCGGCGTTTCGCTGTGAGAGCCGGAGCGGAGCCGGAGCTGCCTTTTCTGAGATTTTTGGTGGCCTGGTCTTCGTACCTCGGTTCGCATTGCAGATGCATCTCATCTCGCACTCGGCCCGGAGTGTCTTGCTTGCTTCATGGGGCAGACATGCGTGTGCTGCTCCATGTAGCCATTTGAGAGCATCCAGAGCTCCACTCGAGAAGTTGTCGAACCGCAGCTAGCTTCAGCACCGACCATGTTGCCCAAGAGTGCTAGCGCGCCTTTCCGAGCACCAGGTCTTCGCGAGCAAAAGCCTCAGGAAGAGCTGGAGACCTTGTCGGCATCCGTGCTTGGGGTGAGCACGGCCGATGAGGATATGCAAGGAGAGTGCCAGGAGCTCCGGGCACAACTACGTCAGGCACAGCAGCAGCTAGCGGCAATGCAACAACGAGCTGAGCCAAGTGGAAGTGAGGAGGGGCTCGGATGCTCAACACAAGCCCTGCTTCATGAAGTGCAAGCAAAGGCAGGTCCGCAGCGAGCATTGGAGTTGCGACTGCTTGCGAAGGCCCAGGCCATCCAAACCAAGACTTTGACGCTGATGGAAGCAACCCAGACGAAGGCATTGACGTTAATGGATGCTTTGTGGAATCGCTTCGATCGAGAGAACCTCTCGACGAAGCCAGTGACGAAGCCTATCGCAATGGGGGTGAAGTCAGAGGCGGTGCAGCTGAGAGGACCTGTGTCAAAGCCTTTGCCCAAGCAGAAGCGTGCATCCGAGAGCAGCAAGCCGCCAGCCCCGCAACACGAGCCAGAGAGCAGCGACCCACCAGCACCGAAGCGCAGGCGGGGTGCTGGGAAGGAGAATCGCGAGCCACCGCAGGAGCCTTGTCCGGAGCCACCGCAGGGTGGTCTCCTAGACAAGGCAGGGACTCTGGTACCCGAAGGTTTGAGCTTCATGAAGTACTACAAACAGATGCAGAGTGAGGAGGACTCAGAGGAGGACATGACGCCTCAGGAAGAAGCGCTAGGCAGAGGTTCCCCAGGCGAGCACCTGGGGAAGACCACGTCATACCGCGAGTCGGAGGTCGTGTCCCCGATTCTCTTCCTACTCCAGCTGGTATATTGTAGATTCTCAACAGTGAAGCCCAGCGATTGGGATCGCAGCCGTGCCTGTGTAGAGGAATGTCTTTCGCATGAGGCTTTTGAGCAAGCTCAACAAGCGGCCAACAAGATAGTGCATCCGCTCATGAACACGATGCCTAAGCCGAGAAGGGGGAGCGTTCCGAAGGAAGAGCGGCGATCCTGGTTCAATTCGGTGCTGAAGGCCTGGCCTCGACCTCCTGCTTCAGTGGATGAGATTCTCGCCACGGCCAGGGGTTTCTCTGAGAGTGAGAGTACAGTGCTGATTTCCTTCTGTCCTGACTTGCTAGGTGTCTGTGTGCGTGGGGTATACTGTTCTGTTATCTCGAGCCGTTTTGAGCTGAAAATGGGGATTTGCAAACCCCTATTCTCGAGCCGAGAAGGGGGGTTTGCAAACCCCCGTTTTCGAGACGACCGTGGATCGGTGATCCCGGGGACCGTGGATCGGTGATCCCGGGGACCGTGGATCGGTGATCCCGGTCCCCGGGATCGGCGATCCGACGTCCTATAATACTCAGTTGACAGTGCCTTCCAAACAAACACGTAGCGTCATCGGTGATCGCACACGTGTGCGCCTGGCGTGTGTCCTGGCTCTGTGATCCTAGCATAAGGCAGGCTTTTCTCCTTGTGCTGAACCTTAAGCCCCAATACCCTGATACACTAAACCTGTCCCATGCTGTGTTCTAGCCGCCTAGGCTTGCTCAGCTGCCACATCCACGGCCTGCTGCCCCCGCCAAAGTCTCTGATACAGGAGCAAAGAGGCGGGAATTATGCCCAGGTACTGCAGCGACTATCTCAGGTACTTATCCGACTACAGCATCCACCAACGCCTTTCGGGCTCGCTTTCTATGCCTTGCGAATGCTGAAACAGATCAGTGAATCTTGGTCAGCCTGCGTCCACATCCTTTATGCCCGCGCCGACGACGACACTCATGCGGTATTGAAGGTCGGTGTATGCCGCTGGTGTCTGCTTAAGGGCCGCACATTAGGCTACACGAAGGTGGCGGCGAGCCACGGCTACACCATCCAGCGCCTCATTCGCGTGCTTATATGCACTGAGGATTGGCTAGCACGGAGGATTGAAGAGAGGACGCATCTCTTGTTTTGCGAGCTGCGACCCCAGTACAAGTCTTTTACAGCCGAATGGTACAGTGAACAGGCCTTGAGTGACATTCATCGTTTGTTCGACGAAGCTCTGACAATGAGCCTCGATCAATGGAAAGAGGAGGAGAGAACCCAAGAGTGCGTCACCAAAGCTTTCTCGTGACACATGCACTCGTCCCTCCAGACAGTAGCGAGCGCCGGGCCTTCAAAAAATCGCTTCCAACTGCAGTGCTGCGGACTGTGCGGCTTTGAGCGGCTTTTGCATTGTGAAAAGCCAAGGGAGACAACCAAGTATATTCGCAACAGGTCCAAACCAACATAAAAAAAAGTAGGGTACTGAACTTTCGGCCTCCAGACAACAACACACACTTGGAAGTGCATGGCTTCTGAGTCATAGGGGAAGCCTACTTACCTATACACTAGAATCCCAAAACAGGTCCAAACCAACATAAAAAAAAGTAGGGTACTAAACTTTCGGCCTGCAGGCACGCCCTCAACCCGATGCTGAGGGCAAGTCAAGGGGCTTATCGCCGTAAGCCTTAGATTGCAGACCGTGTCAGGTACTCTTGGAGGCCGTGATACTGCATTTCCTGTTCCGAGATGGCTATGGTCGGATTGTAATTGTCTCTGTGGGTAATTTGGTAATCTGGTTTCTCTGGGCCGGCCGACTCGAACAGCCCCTCAGCCTACAAGGCATTCTAACCAACCAACCAGGGCGGAAGGAAAAGAGGGTTCAAAAAAAAAAAAAAGACCGTGTCAGGTGCCGCTCTCTGAGCCATACCTGCGCTCCGAGTGGGGGGAGCTCTTCGAAGAAAGGGCGCCAGTTTGTTTGGCAGAGCCCTGGCTTCGCAACATCCCCCGCTTCAAGGAGGAGGAGGCGCCAAGTCTACGCAGGGCTTGGCTTGGGCGGCTGGGCTCGCTTCTTCCAAGAAAGCGCTTCGGTGTTTTAGGTGGTCGTGCTCTCCTGCGTCTTCGCCTCGGCCCTCACAGCCGGCCTCACGCACTTCATGAACCGGCGCTTGCACCGATGCAACGGGCAGCAGGCAGGCACATGTGAAATTCGGTATCCCCTTGACAGAAGTTTCAAGCGGAGGGAGGCGCCGGAGCACTCACCGCTTCACCGAGGTTCGCAACTTGCTTCACCTTGCAAGCTTGCTGGATGCAGAAACGGCCTCGACGATTTGGTTCGAACTGGATGACGACGATGTGATTGCACTTCCCACGGAGCTGGCTCGGGCGACCACGAGGCTGAGACTCTCTCTCTCTCTCTCGCTCTTTCTCTGTCTGTGAGCTATTTTATTCCCTGATCCCGCCAAGACGGTGCTTCTTTCTCCAGGTTGGTCTTGGAGACCCACCTCATCCCCGCTGAGCGCAGCCTGCCGGTGCCCTCTCTGCATGCCGCACCACGTTGAGGACCAGAGCATCCGAGCAACTCCTCTCTCCTGTCTCTCCTCTTCGCAAAAAGTTGACAACCTGGGCAAGCCGCGCACACGCGGGACGCACGCAGCAATGCGAAGGTCCGGACGCCGCCGATGGCTTTGTTCGGTCTTCGCTTGGTTGTCGGAACAATACGCGGTCGTGGGAACAATACGCGTGCGAAGAGGCGAACATCAACGGCGTTCCAGTTGCTCCACCTTGCGCTATCAGATGAAGCGCCGCACGATCTTGCAAGCACTTCGGCTGGATCTCCACCCCAGGTCACTTGGCTGTCCAGCTCCAACGACTTGTACTGACACCATCAGTCGCATCAGCCTCGCTCAGCTTGTGGTGAGACATGCGCCGCCTTGGCATCTGAATCACATGTGGGTCGCGGCCTTTCGCCCAAAAATCATCCCTTCCACGTTCCTCAGACAGAGGCGCTGGCGCTCGAGGAGCACGGGCGAAACAGTGCTGCCATCTGTTTGCGTCGGGGGGTCGAATCCGGACCGTGTATTGAGCGTAAAGAGTATACTCAGCATACATGGGTTTCGGTGCCGCAGGCGAGCTCGAAGCCGCTGTGAAGTTACACAAGTTCATGTCCGTGTCCAATGTGATGTTGAGTCAGCTTTCTTATATTATAACTTCAGCAAGCAACGCGGCAACGCAGAACCTGTCGGTGGGAGCGTCGAGCCATGGCCCTCGCGCCGCTGCTCCGATCTGCAGCAGTGCTGGACCTGTGCGAGGCACCTCACAGCCGGGCCGCCGGGGAGATGTCTGCAGATTTGTACTCAGACTCCTAGTACGATACTGCTTTGAAGTGCTCCCCGGAATCTTTGAACGAAGTGACCGGTCGAGTTATTAAGCAACTTCAGTGTGCGGTTGCAGAGGCTGATGATGTCTGGAGGATACGCATCCGCATGGGCCATTCTGATTCTGCATGTGCCTGTCGCAGGGCGACGTAGTCCTGCCGAGCCACAGCAGCGGTTCCCGAGCTTCGCACTTGGCAGAGTCAGAGGAACCCGAGGACCTGAGGCCAAAGCTCGCCTCCGCTGACGTGGATGCCCGGGTTATTGGCCTCAACGCTTTCCTGGAGAACCCAGCGAGGGCATTGCAAAGTGCCCAACCCTCCAGACTACCGAGCCGCCGATCCGCGCGGCTGAGCATCAGTGGCAATATCGAATGACATGTGAGGGATTGGCGGCATGTCTTTCGAAGCATTCTGATTCCTGCGAGTAGGGGGCCTGCTTCCTGATGTAGGAATTTGCGAAATTTATCGGGCGAGGGGACTTCACGTTGTCATGCCGTCATGTGCAGGTAGTCATTGGGGCACAGTGGTTCGGGATCGGGTTTTTCTGAGGAGTGTCATCGGCCGTGCCCTGGGCAGTGACCTGCCCTCCCGGGAATGCTCGCCCAGTCTTGCTGCATTGGCAGAATCGCTGGCCTTGGCGGCAGGCTTGCTAAAGCGAGCTGCCACAGCTGCCTGGAAGACGAAGCCTCCTCCAGAGCTCTCAAAAGTAGCCGACTGCCTGGACTTCGCGAGGTCATTGCTGCAAGACTTGCCTCAGCCTTCTGCAGAGGCCTCCGAAGCGGAGACTCGAGATGATTTTTTCCAGTGTCTCGAAACGCTGATGGCAGAGCTGCGAAGCGCAGCCACCCGACCTGGCAGCGTGGTCATCATCCCGGGCGCCCCGGCTCCGGCTTGGCTCTGGCTTTCTGCACTTCTTTTTTTATGCACCTTTGAGCTTCCTTTATCTTTGTATTCCCTCGAGCGAGGTGGTTGGTTGCGGCGAAGGGCGACTGCCGGCTGCAGTGACTTGGGCCACGCAGTGCTCCTGGTGCTCTTCCGGTCCTTCGAGGCGGAGGAGTTCATTCTGGGTGTCGTGAACACCGGTGAGGGCCTGCAGTACCACCCCGCCAGCCTGTCGAGGGCTCAGCCGAACCCGGAGATGCCACTGCGCCAGTCCCCGCTGGTTCTTACCAGCATCCCAACAGAACGAGTTTGCAGCAGCGCGCTCTGGTACCTCCTCTACCGCCAGATCCTCCACCCAGATCCCGAGAATGGCACGGTGCTGAGTCAGAAGCACGGACATGCCATCTCTCAGAGCCTTGTCTTAACCCTGCAGCCTGAGGACCAGAAGCCATGTATGGACACCTGCTGCCGTTCTTGAACCAGAGGCCGCTGAGCGCCAGCACTGGACCTCAGTCATGGACAGAGCAACTCCCTGTGCCTGTGGCTGGGGATCGGTCCTTCGCCCTTTGTGTGGAGCGGAGCGTCCGCTTTGCTTTGGTTTTATCTGGTCTGGAGCCTTGCGATGCCAGCTGGTGGAGCTCCGTAGGCCTGCGCCGTGCGCTGGTGGAGTGCATGCAGGAGGCCTTGGCCGTGCAGGGATTGCGAGCTCCCGCTCCGGCCGAATTCGCCTTACTCCGTGTGGGCGTGTCCTCGCTGGCCCGTGCTGCGGCTCAGAGTGCAAAGGTGCAGGAAAAAGGGCCCGGGCGGCTGAAACTCGCCGAAGAGGTTCAAGCGGTCATCGAAGCCGCCGACAGGAAAGCCGTCGCAATGGAGCACTCGCAGCGAAATGCCCGCTCCGTGCAGCCTCCGCAACTCTGGGAGGACCCCTGGAGCGCAGCTTCCCGGCAAGATTGTCACGCCGGCCGCAGTAAGATGACACTTGTAGCTTCAAAGTGCCCTTCCTAAGTCTTGAGGTCCCTCCGTAAACCTTTAGTCTTCTTGTGACCATAGTCTATATAGTGTATCGGCTCCATACCCCAACTTCATAAATTCCCCACCTGAGTCCCAAACGGCCCGAAAGCCTGTTCGGTGACTCCGAGGTCACTTCGGAGGCTTCAGCCGAGCTCTTTCGCAAGACGTGGAAGCGCTGAAGGGCGAGGCAAGGGCTCAGGGGCTCCGCAAAGTGGGGGGGGGAAGCGGGGGTGGGGCGGGGTGGGGTGCTAGCTGCTACTTTCGGCATGCTGCGATGAAGAGTCACATCACTGAGGCAGCTAAGGCCGCCACGAGTTGAAAAGGGGGGAGAGTTCCTTGTAAGCACATTCCCATGCGGGTGCCGCGTCTAATGAGTCTAATGGTGAGGAATCTTGTTTCCGGCTCCCCTGTTCGCGAGGCCAGACATGGCACTCTGATCCTGCCTTCACTTCCCGCAGCCCTGCACACTCAGATCAACAACTGTACAGAGGCCACGGCAGGGTTTCGTTGCGACAGTTTCGTGAAATCATCAGCCAGTCGAGCTTCAGTGCATCATCGCATCAGCAGGCTGCGGAGTGCTGCCGGCTCGTCAGCGGCATGGTGGCCTTGATGACGAACCAGCGGGACCGGTTGCCGCAAGCTTCCGCGTCCTGCTTTACTCTGGTGGTTCATTTGGTCTGCAGGCTTTTGCCAATGCCTCTGCCTCTGGATGACGACTATTGGCCCGACAAATGCTTTTGGGCAGGGCAGCCGCTGACACTGGAAACCAAGCGAGATCTGCTGCGCAGCCTGCACCTCATCTCACGCTACTTTTCTGCATCTGCCGAGAATCTGCGTGCGACGAGGGAGACAGACGGGGCCCGAACATGTGTCGCTGCCGCCTTGGTGGTGATTATGGATGCCCTTCTCCGACGTCCAATTGACCTGCTGGACAAACAGGTCGCAGTGCAAGAGAGACACGGAGATTTGATCTCCTTGCACTACTCCGGGGCTGCAGGTGGACACCAGAGTCCTTGCAAGCCCTTCTTGCTGGACCCCAGCACTTTTCGTGAAACCTCTGAAGCTCTTCTGCTTCCCCAGCCCGAGCTGGCCTTGCTCAGGGCTCAGGTCCTCGACTATTTCCAAAGTTTGACCACTCTGGCAACATCAAGCTCTCGAGGGTCCATGAACGCAAAGCGGCTTTTCCGCCAACTAACACGGGTCAAAGAAACTCAATTGCAAGAGCACGAGACTCAATACCTCTTTACCTTTGAGAAGGGCATGGCATTGGGCCCAGCTGATCGTCTGGAGCCGAGTCGAGCATGGCTGCGAACCCAGAGGTTTCATGCTTTGCTTAGCGCCCGGTCCCGGTGCTCAGGTTTGTTTGTTGAACAGCTTGGGCTCAGCATCGGCTTAGAGTCGGCAGGGCCATCGGCGTCTCCTTGCTCAATTCAGATGTTCGGACACATTCGAAGGTTGGTTTGGCAAACCCGAGCCGCGTAGATCTTTGCTTTCTCCTGCAGGCATCTTCTTCTCAGTGGAGAGCAGCCCCCATTGTTGGACTTCTATCCGGAGTTGGCTTGGTTCCGTGACGTGTCTTGCATCGCAATCTATATACGCACTGCTTCGGCTTGAACACGATATAGTCTTCTGGATGAAAGAAGCATCGTTGCTGATCTACTCCTCGCTGGGGTGTCATCTGCAGGCCGTGTTCTTGTGGAAGGTTCTGCTCTTGCCACCCGCCGACGACGAGTCGGACAAGGCGCCGAAAGCCGAAAGCCGAAAGCGTTTCGCCACATTTTTTGGTCTGTCGTGGATCTCCGAGGCAGAGGCTCCACGCGGCGACATCTCGGCGGCTCTCGGTGCACCCCTGGTCTGGCGCTGGCAAAAGGGCAAGAAATCGGAAGGAACCGAAGAACTCGGGGCCTTCGTCGTGCACGGCTTCGAGGCCGTGCTGCCAAACACACAGAGCTTCAGCGCCTTGGGCAGCAGATGGCAGCAGGCTGCAGGTCACCATTATCGAATTAATGTACCAGAGAATGTCTCCTCGGTCTCTGTCTCTGTCCTTTGGTGAGGCTTCAAGGCGTGGTGGAAGAGCCGGCGCTGGCAAGGGCTGAGGGGCCTGAAGCGCTGGCTAGGCGGACAGGCCGAGAACTACTCCTCCAACTTCCGGGCCCTGAGCCGTGCCAACCCAAGTCTCCTGGCGGGCTCGGCGGTGGAAACGGAGGAAGACATCCTTGCGTTGCAGTCTGTACCCTGCTTCGGAGGGAGCTTGAAGGCCTCCGAGAGCGAGCTGCTCCTTACCTACCTCGTCGCCCCCTATGTCCGGATTCCCTTGGTGCTGAACTTCTTCTCGGACAAGCAGCGCATGACTTTGTTGCAAGCGCCGCAGCTGCAGGCCAGCTTCTGCTGCGTCGCTCTTAGCACTCCTACCGATCAGGCTTCAACTGAGCTTCATGCAGACTTCAGTATCTTGCAATGCTGAGCGTACAGCAGCAGAGTGTTTGGGCGGATGGTCACAGGCGGTGCTGGACGCTGTCCTGTTTGAGCCCGGCCCGCCCCTCCAGCTGCAATCATGTAAGAACTCAAAGCAACAGCATCGGACCGTCGAAGTCGAAGCGTTGTGTTCGGGGACAGTCTCGCATTTCGCTCCGCGGGGCCCCGGCTCTGTGTCAGGTGGCTGACGTATCAGGAGGCACTGGCTGGGCCGCCAGCAACGGTTCCCTCCAAAAGTGTGTCTGCGCCGGCAACGAGAGCAGGCCTGCTCCTGAACGAGCTCCAGTATTCGCCAGAGCCGGTTTTGGATTCCGTGCTTCAGCTTCTGCAGTTTGCATACGAGCAAGATCCTGGTCGGCCGGGCACTGGAAGGGAAGGCCTCATCCTCTTCCTTGTGCGCCTCGCGGTGCGTGTCGAATCCCATGCGATGCTGGTGCTTCAACGAGCCGGCAGCTCAGAACCGAAAGTAAGCCCAGCCTCACCAACCACACCCTCTTGAATGTGGAGCCATGATGAATGAGGCCCGTGGTGCATCGACTGGAGCCGGTGCACGGCAAGTGGCGCCGCGAAAGGACAAGCTCCGAAGCCTGGAGGATCGGACGAAGCGGCTGAGTGCTGTGCTGCGCAATGCCGTTCTGGAGATGATGCTCCAGTGGGCCTCTCAGGCCAACCGGGTAGAGTTCGCCAAACTTATCGATATCGTTCGCTCTCCTCCTACTTGACCTGCCAGGCCATAAAGCGCAAGCCCCGGAAACTGGACATAGCTGCTCGGGTTCACGCGCACATTGCCTTTCTCTTCAAGAACCATCAGCCGGACACTGTGCGGGAGGTCTCTGTGTTCTTGGCTTCACAGGTCTTTGTGATCATGAACAGCTTCAAGCCAGCGACGAAGCGCTTACCCAGTTCCCACCTCTTGGGGGTAGGTGAATTCGAGCTGTTTGACGTGTTTGAGCACTGGCGCACCCCCCTGGCATCGTGGTTGCGAGCACACCCCAAAGAAGCAGCCGTCGCTATGGAGAACGTTGAGCGGGTTGTAACTTGCAAGGGCACTGCAGATATCACAACGCCTGATGCCAATCGATCTTGGCATGAGATGCCAAACGAGCCTGGGAACTGGGCCTCCAGGCCAGTCACAGAGGGCAGCCAGGAGCAAGCCGTCCCCGGTGAGTCTTACCGGGAGTGGCTGCTGCGGACCTACCACCAAGCCTCCGTGGGTGGCGCCGACATTGTCGTCTCTGTGAACCAGGGCCGTTACCATTGCCGTGACGCTGGCCTCCAGCTGCTGCCGGAGCACGCGCTGAGATCCCCGCATCTGCTCGAGGCCAGTGCAAGTCATGCTCACCTGTGCTCACCTTCCCATCGCACCGTTTGAGACCAGTGTGCATGTCTTTCAGGCCTGCGGGAACCTGGAGCACATGCAAGTGGTGTTGCGAGAGGAGACCTTGCACCGGACTTGCTACGAGCTGGTGGGCCAAAACCTTGAGGAGCTAAGCTCAGTGCAGCCACTGCATGAAGGGATTGGGTTAATTAGAGTTAGAGAGATGCTGTCCTCGTGTGCTCCACGGAGGTGCACTGCTGGGATGCCGAGAGGCTGGACGAAAATGGCTTGCCCGAGTGGCTCAACACTCGCAATTTGCAGAAAGTCGGAGACAAGCCGGCCTGGCTAGCAGAGGCTTGGCACTCAGTCCTGGAGGTCGCACTCGAGTAGCACTTCCCGAGACTGCGCCAGAGAATCCCAGAAGCGTCTCCCAGCGACGGGGAAACAGATCGCGCGAGGCTCTTGCTTATCGCGAACTATTCGCATTTCTTTTGTCCTACTGTACTACTTTTTGGAGCGTTGTCTTGTCTTCTAGGCTCTCGATCTTCACTTCAGCGCAATTCTCCGACTGGCCGCACTTGCCACGTCCCGTCTAGTTTTCCATTTGTGCACGTGCAGAGGAGTATCGCCCGTAGATGCAGGGATGGTCAGAAGCATCTTGATTCTTGATTCTTTGAAGGTATATTCGGGATCCAACGTGAGTGTAGGAATGGAAGGCAGGGCAGGGCCCTGACTCTATATAGAATGACCGGGCATGAGACTGTCACATCTTGAAACGAAAATGAGGTCCTCGAGCCGGTACTGGCCAAGCTCGAGTTGGGCGACATGCTCTTGTACTATCAAGCTTCCACGCAAGACAAGCCGGCTTTTCCGGATGCCTGGCTTTTGGGCGTCCCCAAAGAGAGTCAGAGCCTCATCAAGGAGATCGCTGTTTGGAGGAGTCCAGCTTACACGGAGGTTTATGATCTTGTGAGTCGTGGCCGACACGTCCATCGAAAGTTGGTTTTCACCTCGGACATGGTCTGGTCTTTCCACAGTCCCAGCGGCAAAGAGCTTCCAATGTACTCCAGCCCCAATGCAGGACTGCATTATATGTGCTTTTGCAGCAACTCCGTTGCTGGTTGTCCCTACCCCTGGCAGGATGGAGCTTGGGCAAGGGTGAGGTGCTGGCGCCCTCCGGGAGAGGCTCCGGCACGGTGCGAATTTTCCGAACTTCTGGCTCCCATCGCACCTCGACCACTCGACCGGTACATACTGGGTGCGTACATGGTAGTTTAATATCTTGTAGTCTGAGGGGTCTCGAAAGACTTCTCAAGCACACATGAGGGCCTCAAACCGAAGGGGCTGCATTGCTGAGGTCAGGAAGAGTACATTCCGCAGGAGATTCTCCGGGGCTTGCTGCCTGATGCGCTGCTGGACCGGTACAAGTTCTGGAGGAGCAAGGAGGCAAGGGCTCATTTTGGGGCGTTCGGTCAGAGGCCATGGGGTCTACATGAAGGGCTCTTGTGGGACCTTGTGTGCTTTCTTGTGGATGCGGTCGGATTCACTTCATGAAGGCCACCGGAGAGCTTCTAGTTGGTGAAGAGCGGGATGTGGCGGACCAGCCGACGGAGCTCCGTGTCAAAATAGAGCCGGTGAAGACTCTTAAGAGGGAGCGTCTTGGCCTTCGATTCGTCAATCGTATCCAAACTATCAAAATCTCCTGGTTTTCGTGGCCCGCAATGCTTCGCATTTTGCTTTGAGGCCCGGCAGCCCTACTCAGGGTGCTTTCGAGGCCGCGCTTGCCACCGTGGAACGGCGGAGGCTCGTTCAAAGGAGGTTGCTGAACGAGATTTTTTCGGACAGCAGTTCCTGTGTGTCAGGCTTTTGGGGCAAGAGCCGGAGTTTCTGGTCAATGCGAAATCTGGCATGTGTGGATTGACCATGCTGCTCACACGCCTGGAGAATCTGTCCCACATCTTGGTTTGGAGCCGGAGCGCGTCCCGGACGAATTTGGTTTATGCGTGGCCCGTAAGCCATAAACACGAGGCTAACGCCTTGCGTACGCCTTAAAAGGCCCAAGAAATTTTGAAATCAGGCTTAGACTGTCTCTGTGTGTGTGTGTGTTGCAACTAGTTGTGTCTTCTGTACAACTAACTCTGACTAATGCCGACGTGGTGTGTATTGCTTCCCATCGTGGACCCTTCTTTGCGGCACACTCAGGCTGATGGAGCCGGCGGAGTGCATCGCGTGGAGATGCCGAGGTTGATGCTGTCGTTTACGATGCAGGATGGCAGGCTGCATTGCGATCAGCTCGCAGGATACTGGATGCTTTGCTTACATGGAGTTTGTACACCAGCACAAAGCGATCCAAGCAAGAGCAACTGAGGATCTTGGAGAGGCCTCAGCTCACGTCCAACCTCGTCCACCATCTCGTGGCGCAGTGGGGTGGCGGCACCGTGCTCTTGGAGACAGCTGCTGGAGATCTCTCTGTTCTGGTTTCGGCACTCTCCGAGCCTGTGAGGCCCTGGGCAGAGAGGGCGGATTCGCTGAGTCCTGCCGAACGGTTCCTTCCGGGCCAGCTCGTGCTGCGCCGGGGCAAGCCGTCCTGGATGGCCAACCTCGCTGAAGGCAGAGAGTGCATGAGGGTTTGCATGTGGGTACTCGGTTGATTTTCTGTCCATCCTGGCCAGGCTCGCGGTATTACTTTTACCCCCTGCACCGTTGCGGGATGATGGTCTTCACGCCCACACCAGCTGCCTCACTCTATCTTCTTCTCTGCCGCTACCTGACCTGGCACTTTCAAGAGGTGGCTGCCATGGCAAGTGCGATTTCAGAAGTGTCTGGACCGGAAGAAAGGCAGCTGTGGGAATGCCGGAGACCCAGCGGCCCATGCATAAGCATGCCTGCTTTCTTGAGTTTTGTCTTTGCAGGTCTGAGCGTCTTGCAGGGTGAATGCCATGCGGATGCAGTGGCGTGCCGTTTGCACCTGACCCTCGCCAGCTTACCCTTCGGGAAGGATGCTAGGCCACCCTGGGATGTGGTGAAGCAGCTCCAGGAGTATTCCTCGAAGAGGCCGCAAATACTGAAACTCTACATTGCTCGTGCTACTATAACTTTGTTAACCTATTGGAAACTTTTTGAAACCTTCTTTTTAAGGCTTTCTCTGAAGCCCCCTTAGGCACTTGGTTTCGGCGACTTGTGCGCTGCCAGCACATGGGGAGCTAGTGCTGCAGAACCTGCCGGAAGTCATGAGCCAGGCAATCTATAGGGCAAACTACGGTGGTCTTCGTTGCGCTTGCCAGCGATTTTGATGTCCAGGCTTCCGCCCGGCCATTGCTGGCAACGCGCCGTGAGATGTTGGAGCATCTCCTTGTCCGGAGCTCGTTTTTGCTTTTTTTCCCTACCCCCAGAGCTCCGCTCTGCGCGTGTGCAACGCTGTGCGAAGTCGAGGCTTCCAAGGCCTCTGGGAGTCAGAAGTCCATGACGGCGCCTCTGGGGTCTCAGCGAGAGGACGCGGGCTTCGACCGCGTGGCCTACCGGCATGTGCTGGGCGAGGCGGCAAGGGCGACCACCCATACCCTCAACGTCGGGACTGTCGGGCCACAGCATAAACGGAGCCAGCTCATCAGGGATCATGATCAAGCCGTTGGAACATGTTGGAAGCTTCTCGAGTCAGACCCTAAATTCGCCCGTCAGCGCTGACATGTCATGAGCAGCGTTTAGACGGGACGGGCAGACACGAAGCCTCTAGAATTTTTTGTTCAGTCTGTGTGGCTCTGTGATATGCCTATCGGGCCTATCGTGTTGCGATCTCGAGCATTTCGATTGCTAGCACGGGGAGTTGTCAACCGTGAGCGACGAACTGAATCCTGGCAAGGTGGGACTTTTTCAGCGAATGGCCTGCTCCATGCAGGGATTGACTTACAGCAGGCGCAGGAACTTCCTTGCCTTTGGAGTAAAAGGAGCTGAATGCCTGTTGCCGCATTTGTGAGGCCCGAGGGCGAGCGGCCGGTGGTGGAGGGCTTCGCAGCACTGCGCTTCTTGGATGCGCTCTTCGGCCGTGCAGGCGCCAGCACTGGGGGATTGCTGGCCTTCCGCGGCTCCTTCTTCCTCATCTATGAGCTCTTCACGGGCACCTTGGAGGTGAAGCTCTTGCCCGAGGACGCTTGCGATGCTTGAGGGGATGAGGGCATGGGGGGAAGTTGGACTGCGGCAGGACAAGCCCAGCATCCTGGCCTCGGCTCTTCTGCGGCTCGTGGAGAGCGGTAACAGCGCAAACAGCACCACGCAGATGGAGATGGCCGTGCTCCGGTCACTCGACTCCACGCCGGAGGTGCGTGCCGAGATGCCGCTTTGGGGCTCCGCTGCGGCGAAGCGCGTCTGGCAGGCAGGTCACACGAATCCAAAAAGCATCCCAGAGTCTGCTAGAGACAGAGAGGCTCCGAAGGCCTTGTTGGCTGCAGGATGCCTAGGGCCTTTAGAGGCCCTGCAGGCATGATGCTGTTTGCTCGGAGCCGGCCCTTGCAGGTCGGCGCCCTTATCAAGGTGGATCACGACTCCTCCTCGCGCTTGCTCAAGAACGCCGTGAAGCACCTGAGGCAATGCCAGCAGTACTTGCAGCCAGTGAAGAAGTTCCCTGAGTTTCAGAAGGTCGATGGCAAGCTTGTCATCGATCCAGAGGACCTGAACCACCGCAGGCAATGGGCACCCCCCTTGACAGAGGACGTGAATTGCACGAGCCGGGCCTTTGAGACCAAAGCCGCAGGCATGTTATGCCTGGGAGCATGTCCACTTGCCAAGCTCGTCAGTGACTGTTTCGGCCGGGATCCTTTGCAGTCCCGGACCGGCAACGGCGTCGGGGGGGGCAACGATGATGTCCATGAGAAGAGGGACGCGAACGGCCAACTCTTGAAGCTGTGGCTGCAGAAGCTCTGTGGCCCTCATGCGGACCCGAACTTCCGCTTTGCATCTTTGCCACCCGCACAGAGGACATTGAGCCGCCTGCTTGACGAGTTGAGCCTCTTCCTGTCGGGCTCGGTGTCGGGCGAAACCTTGCAAGAGGTGGTGCAGCCTGCTCGCCTGGCGAAGTTAGTGGATGCCCTTCGTGGCCAATGCCAGGAAGACATGCGCGAAGCCACAGCCCTGATAACAGAGGTCGTAGAGGCAGCGAACTGCGGAAATGCCAAAGACTGGCTGCTGCGGCGCTGTGGCACAGCAGTGCATGTGAGCTTCAGCAGTTTGGTCGCAGCTCTGATGGCCTCTGAGCCTGGCTGCAGCGACGCCCTCTACAGAGCAAACCAGGAACTGCAGGAGGAGAAGCTGAGTAGCCTCTTCGAGAAGGTCGCACAAGCCTTGGCGTTGATCGTAAGAGTTGGTCAAGTCACCCGGGCTATGGAAAAGGCGCTGGATCTTCAAAGTGCCATCAGCAGGCGCAGCGAAGCTCTCATCATCTCCCTGAAAGCCCGGACCTTGAGCGAGGAGTTAGTCGCTAAACGGCACCACAGTCGAGCTAAGAGGGCATCAATGGTGCTCTTCGACCCTCGTCTATTGGTCTTCGAGTTCCTCTTCGACATCATGTTAAGAGAGACCCAGGTGAGAATCCTAGGAGCCTTCCTCTACAGCGCCAAGGTTGGTCGCTCGATGACGCATCAAATGATCATGGGAGACGGAAAGACGACGGTCATCGCACCCCTCTTGGCCCTCATCTTGGCGGACGGCAAGTCCCTCGTCTGCTCTTGCATGCCGGCTGCTTTGGCGGAGATGACTCGCTCGGTGCTAACCCGATGCTTCTCCTCTCCGGTGGCTCCTCGCGCGGTGATCTCCTTCAAGTTCGGCCGAGCCTCCCACGCCGACCGGGCGCTCTTCGACAAGCTGGAGGTCCCAAAGAGCCGTGTGTGCGAATCCGGGTGTCATCTCTAGCGACGCAGGCAAATAAGTAAAGGCAAGAACGTCATGCTTTGTGTGCATTTCGTGCGGTTTTGCAGGCTGCCAGGCACGGGAAGGCAGTCGTGGTAGCGGAGCCGACCTCCTTGAAGAGCTTGGTGCTGGGTCTCCTTCAATCGCTGAGCCAACTGGAGGAACTTGCCTCGGGCTCTTCGAAGCGCTGGTGGAAGACAGACGCACACAACCAGAGGACACATCTACTGGAAGCGGAAGCCCACGCGTGCTCACAGGTCCTGCGAATGTTCCATCGAAGCGTGCTGCTTCTCGATGAGGCTGATAAGAAAAGCAGTGATTATAGTGACAGAACTGGGAGGGACATGTCTAGTGTTGACTCTGTCACTGCCGGTCGGAGAGGTTGACCTGCTGCTGGATCCGTTGAAGAGCGAGCTGAACTGGCCTATGGGCACCAAGCGGGCCATTGACCTCGTGGATTCTGTAAAGAATCCGAACTCCGCATCCGCACGCTTCGATCACGACAACTGCCTCCGTGGAAAGCTGCCTTTCCACCTTTTGGATGCGCTTTTTGTGGCCAGCGCCCTCGCAGAGGTTCCGGACTCGGAGCCCACCGCGGAGCAGGTCGGGCCTTGACTATGCTCCGCTGGGCTGCACCGGCAGTCTCGTTCTGATACTCGTAGCCTGGCAGGTGGGAAAGCGTATGGCTGTCCCATTCGCCGACCGCCAAGAGGCAGCCACCTCGCTCCTGGAACTGGCTGCAGAACTCAAGGCCCCAAAGCGCACGACAGAGGGCAGCGGGTAATGCCGGGTAGCCGTTCTTTGCAACTTCTTTGGACCCGGCCCTTGGGAGTTGGCGCTTGCTCAGGTCGGCTGCGAGGCCAGGCATGTGCGCCTCTGCCCACACCTGGTGCTGCATTCCCAGAGTGGTGGCCTGAGTTCCGGCAAAAGCCCAACGGTCTTCCGATTCAACCGACGTAACGACACAGCCCAAGGTTTCTACGAGTCCCACCTCTTACCACACCTTTCAAGCTGGACGGCGCTCTTCTTGGAGTCTCATTGCAATGCTGCTCTCGGGCCGAGTCCTGAGTCGTTACGTCTCTCTCTAGTCTTAAGTTCGATGTATCTTCCCCGCCTTTCCGGTCCGAGGCTTACCCCGCAAGAGCTGCGGCGCGTGCTGCGGCAACCCCGAGATATGGATGCCATTGTGGCCCAGCAGCTGAGAAGGCCTGCAGCCTCACGGTTGCAGCTTGGGGAGTTTCTCGATCATGTCGATGGCTTCTGCTCCGTGAGGGAGAACGGCCCGGCCGTGCAACTCTTCAACCTTGCGGTCCGTTGGCTGCACTCCTTCCTGCCATTCTTGCTGAAGAAGGTTCGCCCCCATTGAACAAGAAATGGCGTGGGCTGCCCGGCCCTCCAGCAGCTGGAATGCTACCGCAGGTGCACCGCGTTTCGTACGGCCTCCTCTCCACGGAGTTTCGTCCTCGGTGCAGAACTCTTACACTTTGTGGGGGCCTTGGCTTGAGCTGCGCCGAATGGTGCTCGATGAGGCAGCTGGCAGCTGAGAGTGGACCTCGTTCGCGACAGCTGCTCTCAGTCCCTTTCGTCGGGAAGGACGGCCAAATACTTGAACACAAGAGTCACAACAGCAGAACACACATTGGCTCAGCAATCTGGGAGGATCAGCCCAGTGAGCAAGCTGAGTTCTCTCACCCCGATGCTTCTTAGCTGGAACATGACATTGCAGTCTTTTGATCACAACCTCTCGAGGGCTTTGCAGAGTGAGGTGGCTATCGGCTTCAGCATTCTGGCCTACAGGCTCCAAGGCCTTCGAAGCGGTGACCTCCATGCGCTGATGCAAGCCCTCCAGGCAAGGTGTGCGGGAGAATGTGAAATGACAGATGCCTTCGATCGCCAGCCGCCAGGCAGACATGAAGCTCCAAAGCGGAATTGCCTACCACAGGCGGTTGGCCAATCGTACCTTTGTGAAGCTCGTCGTCAAGGCGCTTCAACTTCTTCTTGCACCTACAGTAGCAGTTTTCTTGCCTCCTCGCCTCCTTCGCTTCCTGTGAGGCTGGCGGCCGTGTGCGGGGCTTCTCTGCAGAGGGCAAGTGGCTGGGGGACAGGAAAGGCTCCTTGGAGGTCGCAGAGGTGCTGGAGATGGAGACCATCCTACCGCTGGAAGCTGTGGACTTGAACGACGCGGAGCGGGGAGACTGCGGAGACGTGCTGACTAGTCAGTTGCTGCATCCCAGAGGGCAACTTCAAAAACCACTCGTAAAACGACAGTCCGTCACCATCCTTCAGGAATCAAAGAGCCCTGTGCCAAAGAAGATTTTGCTGCAAACGCTTCGCGTCACGAGATAGGCACGGCCGCAGAGGTGGAACAAGGGACCGAACATGAAAAGGAAAGACTAACCCTGAGGGGAGGGCGGGGGGAACAGGGTGTCCAGTTAGGAACCTCCGACACTTCGGCGGCGGCCAACGCGAACATGGGACTGAACCTCAACACCCAAGTTAGGTACTAGTAGTGCGTATAAACCTCTCTGACACCAGCCAAGTGCGTTAATTCCAGAAGCTTTGACAGTTACAAATTGCAGACTTAATCTGACAGACACCAACCGGCATTATCGGAACATTCGCCCTGCGAGTGTTCTGTGGATCCAACCCACTAACACGGAGTACCGAATCAACACTTCATGGGGCTAAGACACTGGGCAAGTTGGTAGGAGAGTGTGCGACTCACGAGCATGCAAAGCGACCCGAAATTCTGCAAAGCGATCTCATTCCCACTCGTTGATCCTGGACCCTGAGTGGTCATTCGTCAGCAGCTGCCCTCTTGTGACTAGTGAGGAGCAACTGACCCAGCTCTGGAGCCTCCTCCGTGCGGAGCCTTGCGCGGTGGAGCAATTCCTTCTCTCGGTGCTGCAGCCGGGAATGGGCACCGTGGATGTCTCAGACCACCAGCTGACTGCAGCCGGCCAGGACCGGACTCCCCACTGCTGCACCACTAATGCTGAGAACCTGCCACTGCCCTCTTAGCCTATTAGCCTCCAGGACCTGGCTGGCGAGCAGCTCTTCGGACTCTGCCTGGGCTTCAGCGGGACCGGAACAAGGGGACCCTTAGCAACACGACTCTCAGCCTGTTGACCAAGCTGCGACATTGAGTGTGCATCTGACGCTTCCACCAGCCATGCTTCAGGGTGCCAGCATGTCTCAGCAATCATGTATGCTTCGTGCCAGAGATCGCAGGACCCCCAACGATCTTCTTCCGAGTCGTTTGGGCCGATGCTGCTATGCTCAAGGCGTGGATGGGCGCATCCTCGGAACCCTGGCCAACACGGACGTCGTCAATGTGGTTGAGATAGACGCTGACTGGACACCCCGAATGCTCTTGGAGCTTGCTGCTGGCGTCAATGGTCCATGCTTCAACGCCTTCATCGACGTGGGAGCAGCTTGGATTCCCTCGGCTCGGTTCAGTGGCATGTGGAGGGATGCAAATGTCTTGGCCATGTCGCTATGCTGATGTTTGTGTTCATATCCTGTTCTTGCTATTGTGATTGTTGTTATTTTTATGTTCTTGTTGTTATGGTTGGTTGACGGTACGGTTGTACCTTATTTGTTGGGCTTGTTTCTATATGTTATTGCTTTTGTTGCTGTCGTTGTTGTCGTTGCTGCTGTTGTTGTTGTTGGTACAGACAAACCAGCCCGTAACTTATGTTAATTAAAACAATTGAGAATTCTTCCGGCGACCGGATAAGGCGCCGATGGAGATTTTGGGAATGCAAGCCATGGTTTGCAAAGCCTCTACCCCTTGATAGAAATGTGGTGTAGAGACAAAGGCCCCATTGCAATCAGGACTTTGTCTCTACCTGCTGGTAGAGACCAACACCGGAGCCTCGTCTGTTGTTTTGACCCACCCTTTACCAATTACACCACGTTTCCACCACAGGGTCGGGAATTCGACATGTGGGGGGGGGGGGGGTGAAACACCGAATGTTACACATCCAGGTGCCTGTCTGTTTCACGTATCACTTGCATGTATCCATGCCTGTTGCTCAAGGTTCTAGTGCAGTGGACTACAGCTGTGCGCCTGTAGCAAAAGAGACACCTGAGTGCCTGTGTTCCTGTACGCCTAGCGAGGGGATACACGTCCAGGTTACATCTCAACGTGGTAGCGGAGCTCCCGGGAAACGGGAAGCTTCACACTTGTGGAGGTACCCGTTCGGTACTCTCTACACAGGTGGAGGCAACCGGAATACCCGGTGTGCTTCACTCAGGTGAAGGTGACCGGAGTCTCTCCGGCACACTTCACTCAGGTGAAGATAACCGGAAGAGGTTTCTCCCGGGGCTCGATCCAAGAACAGCGCAATGGCTAGCCACTCTGCGACTATCTTTGAGCATGAAGGAGGAGATGATGACTACCTCCTCCACGGAAATGAATCTTTCGCGACTAATCATCGTCATCTCAATGAATTACACCGTCTTTCAGCTTTCCAGCAGGTGACCACCAAAGTACCTCCATCTTATGATGGTAGAAGCAGTTGGTTTGCCTATGAAGATGCGATCGATGACTGGTGTGACATTACTGAGCTAGACAATGATAAGCGTGGACCAGCTTTGAGAAATCGGCTAGAAGGTGAAGCAGCAATCCACAAGAGGCTTCTCGACAGAGATCGCCTGAAGGACCCGAACAACGGAGTGAAGTACTTCAAGAGTTTCCTGCGGCCGCTTTTCGTGAAGGGAGCAGCGAATGTTTTCCTCTATCGCTTCCAGCAGTTCATGAACATGCACCGTGGGAATGGAGACATGCTTCGTTGGATTACCAGGTTTCAACTCTCTGTTCAGAGAATGCAAGAAGCGTGGAACGATACCTATCTGCCGATGGAGGACCCGAACAATGCAGAGGTGGGAGCTTTCATAGCAGGACTTCCACCAGAAGAACAAGAAGGAATCACGCCAGTTCAGGCAATGGAAAGAGCCAACGAACGGCTCAGAGAGCAGCATGCTCGGACCATTCCGATCACGGCCAATCTCGTTGCTTTGATTTTTGTCTCTCTGCCCGACTTGACTCAGGATCAGCGGCAGGTGTTGACATCATTGATGGCGCATCGGAACCGAGTTTTAGCTGACTACAATACGACCGAACTGCGTGAGGTCTACCTTGAGATCTTCTGCACGACCAAGACTACCGTCGACAATCCTCTCCTCGCTCCTTCCGGCCACGGTGGCCGCAAGACGTTCCTTGTGATCGATGAAGGATATTTGAACGATCATGAAGGCTACTGGGTCGAGGACGAGGAAGATGGCACAGAAGGTTTTCTCGAAGCGGATGAGGACGCCTTCTGGGTCTACGACGACGAGAACTATTCATGGTTCCAGCGGCGTTTCCAAGGCCGCAAGATGAGGCGCGGATTCAAGGGCCACCGTAAAGGCAAAGGAAAAGGTGGCAAAGGATCCAAAGGAAGGCGCTTCTTCAAAAGGAAGAAAGGCAGGTCACATCTTGCCGAAGAATCAGAAGCATGGCAAGCAGAAGGACAATGGCAAGATTACCAGTGGAGCGATCAGTCCTGGGATGACTGGTCCTGGTACGAGTCTGAGGAATCCTATGCAGCCAAAGGAAAAGGAAAGAAAGGAAAGAAGGGCAAAGGAAAGAGCAAGTTTGGCAAGGATGGAAAAGATGGAAAGTCCGGAAAGGACGGACAGAGCCAGCTTGCTGATGCTGCCCCGAGCGGCACCACAGCCGCCACAACCTTCTTCGTTGAACATCTCAACACTCCGAACTTTTCTTTCATGGCCACCGAAGAGAAGATCAATGAGATCGAGGAAGCCTTCATCTCTCAGCCCTTGACGCCGACCGCGATGGTGTTGGACTTGGGATGCACGAGAGCAATGGCTTCGAGAGTGGCCGCACAGGACCTCATGGAGTTCTGTGACAAGAACCAGAACTGTGGCATATGGTACACCATTGCTGAGACCACTTCTCAGTTCACCTTTGCCAATTCCGAGTCTACCAAATGCAACCAGAAGTTGGTCATTTGCATGTACGACCGGGACTTTGCAGTTCAATCCACAGAGTTCGACATTGTGGAACAAGGGCATGTTCCCATTCTCATGTCCTTACCTCAGATGCGCAATCTTCGTTTCCAGTTCGAGCTCCATCCGGAAAAGGCCTTGCTCAGCAGCCCTGTGCTGGGAATCAAGGATGTGAGGCTGAAGGTTGCACCCAGCTCACACCTGGTACTTGATCTTCTTGAACTCAGTCAGCTGATGTGGAATGTGCGTTTCAGCAAGCATAAGAAGTCGAGCTTCCTCACCTACTTCTCCCACTACGAGTACGGCTTCCATCAGAAGACCGAGGGATGCTGTTCTCATGAACAGGTACCCGACAATCTCGTGTTGGCGACTGATGATGAATGGGTGATCAACGAAGCCGACATGGAAATGATTCGCATCCACAAGAAGATGAGAAGAGTCAAGTACGAACCCAAGGCGGGTTATGTGCCAATTCCGTTGGAGTATCTGGACACCAAGCGCAAGACGATCATGGAGTTCTCCAAGGGAAAGAGCGTTACTCAAGAAGATGACTGGCGTTCTTCTGAGCTTTCTTCAACAAGAACTACTGACTCTTGGAAAGGCAAGACCATTTTCAAGATTCTGCCTGGTGGCATCGAGAGTAGAACCTCGGTGCCAGCCAAGTCCAAGGATCCAACCCGTGGAAAGGTAGGATCTCCAGAGGACATGGTTAGCGCAGGTAAGCCTGAAGACAGCTCGAAGAACACAGGAGCATCCGGAAGCTTTCCGCAGGGAAAGGCACCGGCAAAGAGAAGGATTCGAGCCAAGGGAAGCTTTCCACAGGAAAGGCACCCGAGGAACCGGCTCCTCCTCCTCTTGCTCCTGAGGATGATCCGGATCTTCAAGAGTACGAACCTTCCGAACCGGGGGATGCAGATTTGCTTCCTCCGAGTCCTCCGAAGGCCCCAGAGCCACAGTCGCTAGAACCTAGGAGGATCGCGCTTCCGTTGCCAGGCCACGAGGTCTCAAGGGCTTCTCCGCAGTATCAGCGCATGTTGGAAAAGCTGAACAATGATGTTGAGCTTTACAAGTTGCATGTGAAGCATTACCACATGAGTCCTGCTCAGTTTCGACGCAGGACCAGCATGCTTGGTCTGCCAGGAGAGATCTATGACAAGTACGACCGCATTGTCAAAGGCTGTCGTGTTTGCAGCACCTCGGTGCCTACGCCTCCGCGAGCCAGAATCGCAGGGTTAAGAGCATCATCCTTCGGTGATCTCATTTTTGTTGATCACGAAGAAATCAAGTTCGGTACTAAAGCCTACTTGGCTTTGGTCATCATTGATGGTGCTTCAAATCTCCTGTGGGCTACGGCTCTCACAAGCCTGGAAGCGCCAGAGACTCTGGGAGCTTTTCGACAATGGACAGAGGAGAACAACTGCGTTCCTAAGGGAATCGTAGGAGATCAAGCATTTTTCACGCCGCAGTTCATGTCCCACTATAAGTTTCATGGCATTACTCCGTATCCATGTGGACCACGGACTCCTTGGCCTAATCGAGCTGAGACCGCAGTGCGTCTTTTCAAGCGCACCTGGGCAATCATGGCCAAGGCCTTAGCTGATGAGGGTTATGCAGAGAAGGTGACTGTTCGTCAAGCAGTCAAGAAGGTGGCTTGGGCAAGAAATTGCCAGCTTACCGTCTCAGGCTATTCTCCTTTGGAGATAGCTACAGGAAGACGGCCACCAGACTTGTTTGATGTTGAGAACAGTTCTCCTGAACAGCTCTCTGCTGAACCTGCCGAGGAGGATCGAACCACTCTGGAACTACAGAGGATTGCCATGCGGGCTCATCAAGAGGCCAGACAATCACTTGACCTTCGGAAGGACCTTGCACGAAGAGTCATGCCGTCTGATGGTCCTTATTCGAAGGGTGACCGCGTGTTTGTTTGGCATAAGGATGAGTCGAAGAAGAAGTCTGAAGGAACCTGGGTAAGAGGCATAGTTGTGTCACAGGAAGGTGCCATGGTGTTGGTTGAAGTTCATCGTGCCGTTCTTCGGGTTAATCAGTCGAAGGTCAGGCGTGATGGAGATCCGTGGCATGATGTGGCCATTCCTCTGAAGAAAGATGAGGTCCCGAGACGCTCTTCTCAGGAAGAGGCACTCGACCGCATCGGCGACGATATTCTTGATCGTGCCGGTTCTGGGTTCTGCTATGAGCATGAGATCTGTTACCACACTCTCACTTCAGGCAAGAGCGATTTCGTTGAGATCACACCTCGCCTCACCGGGCTTACTGCGTGCACAGTCCATTCTGGACTTGATGCGAGTGAACCTGTGTTGTTTGGTGAATGGAACGCCAAGTCTATCCAATCTTCGATTGAGGCCGCTTGGCGAGTGATCTTGAAGGCAGAGCCTAATCACATTTTTATTCATCCTGTCATCCCTGACGGTTGGACCAGGAAGGCCACCAATGCCTTCTGGCACTTTTGTGCCGAAGTCTGCCGTTGGCAAG